CGTGTTGCCTGTTGGTCTCTGAACAAGGCAGAGTGGGACAGTCTTCGAGAGGCGGTGGATAATGAAGCAGGTGAAATGGAAAGTGATGGCATATCGTATCTTCTCTTTATGACCTGTAATGCGGCAGCGCACAATGCTTCGATTACAAGTGCCCAAAGACGAAGACCAGGCACACCATGGTGGTAACCGGAATGCTCCCATGCTGCAGCTAAATGTAAAATAGCTTTAAACCTATTGCAAAGATGTACATCATCTGAAACTTGCTCTGTCTATGCTATACCTAGTCGACATTGTAGGGCCGTCCTTCCTCGCGCCAAAAAGCATCTTAGCGGTTTTTTATTTATACTTCAATCGTTCCATACCTCTATCACGGATCTGGCGAATCATTAGATTTTTTACTAGTAAACGAGACCCGATTGTTGTTGCCTTTCCACATCCAGTAGGCAACGACAGATATGCAGGCTCAAGTGAGGTAGCTCTCTAGTTCGCGAAATATTGTGCCAGTGCATCATCATATTTAATTTACTCAGTGGAACAGCATTTTCCTTAGCTTCTACAGATTATAACATGGCCTTCACGCTCCAAGAACTCTCACTAGTTATCACCCGGTCAGGAAATTCTTTCGTCGGACAGGGCGGAATTCACTATGATTTCTTCAGAAACCTTTCCCCATATCGCTGGAAATTTTGGTAAGATGTATAAGCCAGGCATGGAGGAACGGTACCTGTCATAAAGACGGGTTTCATTCAATCATCATACCTATTTTTTAAGGCAGGGAAATCTTGCACGGATCTAGTTAGCTGTCGTCCAATTGATCTCACAAGCTGTGTATGTAAACTGTTAAGACGACTTGTAAGCTAACGCCTTCGCTATTTTCTAGAGCTTTCCTCCAAACTCGACGCATTCCAAGGGGGGGGGGGGGGTTCGAAAAGGACGCAATTCTGGAGACAATTTAATTAGGACCACAAGCACTATTCAAAGAGGATGTGAAGAAAAAAACAATGCTCAGTTTCAGTGTTCCTGGATTTACAGCTGCATTTGACACAGCTTATACTTCGACTCTCTTATATCTCATACACAAAGAAGAATCGAGAAAACCTGTCGGTTTTCTTTGGAAACTACTTACAGCCTAGAGCATTTCAGGTCCGCTTCCAAAACTTGCTCTCTCCTCCCACAACCACGAAATTCGGTATGCACAGGTGAGCGTGATTTCATCTACGCTTTTCCTCGTAATGATTCACGAAATCGCTGAAAACTGGACCACGTTTTTTGGTATACATGCAATTCAACTTTTGCCGATGACATAGCGGTTTAGTGTCTTCATCAGTCTGTAGACAGAGCTGCTCAAGTCGTTCAGTTGGCGCTCCACAACATTCCAGAATGGTGTGATAGATAAGGCTTGAAAATATTGGTGGATAAACCAATCAGCGTAGTTTTTACAAGAATAATCTACCGATACCTCGGCTCCTATATCCAGTTACCATGAACAGAGAAGCAATGGATGAACTTAGGTGCTACATATTTCTCGGTTTACCTCTTGGTTTCCACGTAACATTTAGAACATATGCTAACCAGATTAGGATAATGGTCCAACGTCATCTCAGTAACCTTTGCGCTCTGTCTCCCACACAATGGGGTGGAGACAAAAACACCCACCCTTCAATTTCGAATACTTAATTCGATCAACACTAGAACATCCCCTTCTGCACATACATACCTCGCTCGCTTGAATCAAGAGTGTGCTGATGCTGTTCAAGACGCTGCGCTGCGTCCATGATAAAAACTTCAGATTCCAGTATTATCACACAAAGTCTGATTTGTCTCCATGATTTTAGAGACGTGACCAAATTTTATCCCATTCTAGCCACGTAGCACACCTCGTGCAATGTAAATCAAACCAACGTCAGCGCTCCAGGAATAAAGGTTGAATCATTTTGTGAGCGAGGTACAAATTTTCCAGAGTCGAATCCATTCCGATTCTGCCACAAGCTATGTGCATTAATTCCGCATCTCATTCGGTTGGAGGATTAAGTGGACCAAATCCTAATCCGACTACGACCGCAACGAGGTCAATTCCGGAGAAGAGTTCAAGTTCGCCAGTAAGGCTCGAGTGCAAGTCTGATGACCAAAGCACGAGGGCACGAGACATTCTTGGAGTTCTGCTGACCCCAGACTCGTCCTTGACGTCGGGTAGAGTCAGAATTGACTTCGAAAAGGGTATGTTTTTAGCTGTGACAGGATGAAATCAATTCATTTCAAGCACTTCGTGGGAGTCTGAGTTTGGATTGACTCAATCAAGTTCGTCTGTAAAGGAACCGAGCGTATTTCATCATTTGATATTGTTAATGTGCACCAAACGGAAAATAATCATAACTTTTGGATTGCTTTCAAAATCGTGTGCCGTCAAGGCATTCATGATAGCCATATAACAGGCTACTAACACCCTCAAACCGTTGTCACCGAAGTCAACATCAGAAGCCATTGCAGGGCAAGCCATATGTGCCTTCCAGAATCTTTGTCACCTCGACATTGCTTGCGCTGGGCTGCTCTGAGTCAGTGACGGGATCCACCCCACGAGTGGCAAGACAATGTTGGATTCAGCGTTATGGGTGATAAGTCGGTGTCAGAATTAACCCCATCAATTTTGCTGAAGCCGAATCATGCACAAATCTGGCTGACACCAACTTTCAGGGTCTCACGTCCACATGTCCACCACCAGTAGTGCTATAGTCGGCCGCAAGGGGTGCTGTCAACGGCCGCCAGGGGCGCTGTAGCTTGCCGCCAGGGGATCTGTGATCGGCCGCGGGCTGTACTGTGGAACGAATGTTACCACTAATTTGGATTAGACCGATTCGTGAGGTGATCAGAGTCAGGCTGAATATTTTCTTATACTTGTTCAGTCACGAATAGGCCTCAAGCATTTGCGTTTCAAGAATGTCTAGCAAATCTGCACTCCATCCGTGACCGGTGGCGAACTCTCCGGCCATGCCAGGCGACGTTGGAACGAGCCGCTAGCTCAAGCGTGACGCAAGGCAGACGGGATCGTGTGTCACTGCTGGTAAATGTTTGGGCATCGCCCATCTTGTCTTGTCTGTCGAAAGAGCAAAGATGCGACGAGCACAACCATAATCTTGCACAGAAGGGCAACAAAAACGACAGCATTGGACGACTCCAATCGAACAATGTCATAACCCAAATCTGAGTCAGGATCAGAACGAGGTCTGGTGCACACCCTGATGGTTCCATTTCCGAGTCTCCATTACCCCTGTTGGCCCTGCAAGGCCACCGAGCGCAATTCAGCTTCGGTCAGGAGTTAGGGTATTGGATTCCTCTGGACTCTCGTCCGAATCATTCCGCGCAGACCGCACTTGTTCCACTGCCACCACCCGCCCGCGCTCCGTTTCTTCGTCTCTCCCTCTCTTTATCTCTGCCTCCATCGCTCTGTCTCGGCAGGCAGCTTTGAATCCTGTTCGCTGCCCCCCCCCCCCCCCCCCCCCCATCCCCGCCGCAGCGCCGGCGTGCGCAGCCGACGGGTCTGGGCGCAACCGGACGGCCGCAGCAGGGTCGCCCGGACCGCCTGACCCCACCGCAGCGCCCTCACCAGTTGGTCTGAGCGCCATCGGACGGCCACGGCAGGGTCACCCGGACTAGCGTCTGGCCGACCCCAACGCAGCCCCCTCACCGGTCGGTCTGAGCGCCACCGGACGGCCGCAGCAGGGTCGCCCGGACCGCCTGACCCCACCGCAGCGCCCTCACCGGTCGGTCTGAGCGCCATCGGACGTCCACGGCAGGGTCACCCGAACCAGCGTCTGGCCGACCTCACCACAGCGCCCCACCGATTGGGCAGCGATGTCTTCAGCAGGAGCATGGCGATAGCCGAGCCCTGGACGGGCGTCTCCACGCCCATGGCCGGCGGCTTTGGGGGAGGGGCGGGAAAGAGGGGAGGGGGGGGGGGGGGGTGGTTGAAGACGCTCGATGCGGGAGTGTGCTAAGCCGTGGAGAAGGTGGGGTGGGAGGGAGGTTATGTTTACCAGAGTGCTGACTGGATTAAGGGAGAGCGATGGACTGCAGCAAGTTTCCTTGTACCCAGTGGATCAGGCTTGAAGTTGGAAGGAAGTTTTGTGACTCTCGCCTGTGGCTGCATAAACTACCTGCAGCGTTTCCATCGTAGTCGGTGAGGGCAAAATCGAGGTGGTACGTTCGTTTTAGCTGACCCCATCAGCAAAAGATTTAGCACTCAGCGAAACAGATTAAACAGAAAGTTTGCTTATTTCCTGGCTGCTATAGAACGAGTGGAAAAATCCGATCAAAACAGTTACTTGGTCTCCACACACCACCACACACACACACACACACACACACACACACACACACACACACACACACACACACACACACACACACGCGCGCGCGCGCGCGCGCGCACGCACGCACGCACGCACGCACGCACGCACGCACGCACGCACGCACGCACGCACGCACGCACGCACAGCACACACACACACACACACACACACACACCACACACACACACACACACACATCACACACACTATGGGCTAACACAGGTTATGATGGAAGTACACATAACGCTTGCTCGTCTTCCGCAAGAACATTCTAAGGCCACAGTTTGGTAGAATTATTCGGCGCAACGAGAAAGCCCTGGCAAGAGAAGGATACATAACGGTTTAGGTGAAAATACTGCAAGACTAAATGGCGCTTCTAGTGCTAAAGTAAGCCCACTTTTAATGACCCTTACCAAAGTGACACTACCGCTGTGCAGTATGATGCTGGCTAACATAACACGTCGGTATGCGCTCTTCGGCTAAGCTTGCCACGGCGAGCGCTTACCTCCAGCAGGTGTAGCAGGAGCATGGGTCGGACAGAGCATGAGGAGTACTCCCAGTGCGGCAGCCGCCACCGGGCCAGCATGCCGGCTCCGCAGGACGCCGGCAGCACTGGTAGAGGCGACACCGGGCCGCGGCACGGGGCCGTCCTCATCAGCTGCCAAGCGCGAACACCCAGAGTGGCATCCTCACCATCGGCGGATGGAGAGGGTGCCATTTGCCCTCATCCGGCTGCCACGTGCCGTCGTCGCACACCGCTGAAGGTCACGCGGCCGGTCAATGGACGGTGGTGACAAGGCTGTTCAGGTAGTGGGAGGACACACCAGTGAACCTCCCTACGGTCGGAGGGTGTGGGAGGCCCGCCGACGTGCCCGAACGCTCTTCCTCCTTCAGACAGGAAGCAAAAGGTCATGGCATATGGCAGCGGGGTGGCTGAACATGAAAGGCAGCGCGCCCACGGCCATCTCCCCCGGCCGGGAGTCTCTAGCTCGCGTCTCTGGTTCCGACTTATGGGCAGACACGCACACCTCCCCACGGCTTATCTTCCATCGTAACTTGTCCGTGACCAAACACACCACGGCCAAAAGGCTCCGGACGGTTCATCAGTCATTGGGTGACCCGTGATAACCCAAACGATGTCACTAGCCGATCACTAGACAACCGGGGTGACAGCATAACTAAAAAGTGCGAAACGGGTAACAGTTGCGAAAAAGCAAAGGCATCTTAAGACAAAGCAAAACAAACGGAGGAACTAGCAACAGTTAAGTCTATGACAGCATCCACGGTCAGCCAGTGGTAAGTACACGCAAGCGGACGGTTCAAAACGTGCAAATCAGGACACGTGGTGCATCGTTGCAAAGTTCAAAACATGGAAAGCAATATATGCCGGGGGAAAATAAAGCCATCCTTCACGGCCTGTTGCCCACTTACCGATTCCAGCGAAAATATGAACTATATTAGACTTGCTGCATGTTCAGCACGATGACCATTGTCTGGCAGTCATCTCAGTTATCAACAATTAAAAGCACTTTTCTGTCTGACACGATGACACGATGTGGTCGGCTCTAAAGTTTTCCTTATGTTAAGCTTACGTGTAGTTGGGCGTCGAACACAACGGCGAGCCTGACGTACTGAAAAAACTGCTTGTGTTAAGCCGTAACGCATGCGTGCGATTTCTCTCGAAGAAATCAGATCTCCTCGGATGAGGTCGCAGACCATTCCCTTCTTCCCCCCCCCCCCCCCCCCCCCCAGCCACTGATCCCCCTCCCCCCACGGCGTATCGGTATCGCCGATCGGCCGATATCGCAGCGGCCCGGGGCGAACGCAAACCCGGCAGCGCTTTCCTGCCATTTCAGCCGATCCCTGCAGCATGGCTTTCTTCACAACTGTACCGACATGGCCGTCGGCGGATGGAGCGATCTGTTCCCGGATGCTTTCAGGACAACATCGCCAGGGCATTGTGTCGCGTGGGTTACCCGTGGGAGAGGCCTGATCCGTTCGGTCGATCCACAGCCTACGGCTTGACTAATACACTGGTGATGTGCGCAAGCAAAGTACGTAACAAGGCGTGGCGCAGCACTCCGTTTACGGCCGCTTGGTTCGGTCAGTGCAGGCGGAGTTCCGTCATAACTGGCCAGCAACATAATGAGCACCGTGCCAGGAAGCCTGCCATCAGCGCCAGCGTCCTCCCCAGCGTTCCCTTGATCGCAACGAAGCCCGTTGAAAGCTCACTTTGGGGTTGCTCACCAGCGTAGGGACGGTCGGAAGGGTGTCGTAGGCCATGCCCCTGACGCTGGAAAACAGGACCAAGCTGGACCAAGGAGGTGTTGCAAGGAGTGTTGAAGTCGACCTGATGCTGCCCGCCAGCCATGGTCATTACGGCCAGAGAACACTGACGTGTCCTCGGCGCAGGGTGCCATGGTATGTTATGCCCACTCCGAGCTCAACCCCCCACCAGCTCAGCCCAGCTCGGAGGCCAAGAGTTCCACGTGCGTCCCCCACTCCGAACGCGGTGTCCAGGTCATGACAAGAGCGACGTATGTTTGTTGGAGAGGGGGGGGGGGGGCTTGGAGCAGCTCTCCAGCTGATAGTGAAGTTCAAAAGTGTGATGGTGTGGCTACGCAGCTGATATAGCCTTGCTGGGGTCACCGCCAAGGCAAAGGGGCCCTGGACTCCCGACGACAGCAGCTACGCTGGCACCACAGCACGCGCCAGAGACAACACGAGGCATTCGCCACTCTGACGTCACCGGAACAAAACTATGACGTCAGTCGCCATCAATTTGATTCTGAGGCCGTTCGCTTCAGCGGCAATCTAATCGGATGAGGGCTAACGGCCGGCGAAAGCTGCAAATATATGCATGAGTGAGCAGATATGAGGACCAGGAGAAGCGATGCCCGATATTTCACGATGACGGCTGGATAAAAAGTAATAAGATAAAAGGTGGCACATAGCATTACATGTTATATTGCACATTGCCTTATTTGGCTGGTACAGATAGCTGCGACTATCCAGTTAGATTCCTGCTTCTTTATTTCATGAAAATACAAGCAAATGTGACACATTAATATACATGGATTCCAGTGAGCACTGGCATAAAAAATCACCTAGGAGTCCGCGTCATGCACCGTAAACGCATCGTCCAACAGCTCAAGCGGCGTCCTACAAGCAAAACGCGTACAAGGGAGTTGTCGTTACGACGATGCCGTACAAGGGATGTGCAAGCACTAAACAACTGCCCAAAAAACATCGCGTCGGTTTACCATGTATGCAGTCTACATATGTATACGATAACCAGAACGACTCATATACGTCAATTAAGTGGAATGCGGGTGCGGACAGAGTCTAGGTGAGCGGAAAATGGCAAACACCCGACGAAATCGTTGCGTTTCGTACCTGGCTTGTCCTCGTGCAGCAAGTTGCAGGTGAAGCGAACTACGATCGGCGCCGACTGTATACACCCTACACTATACAGAGCAGAGGTCTCATTCTTGGCACCCTGGTGGGACGGCCTTGACCGCACGCGTTTGCTGTTAGGATGCCTGCCGTGGCACGCAGACATACAGAGACATTTACCGATGGCTGGCGCCTGGAGGTTAGACGATTGCCCATACGACCCGGAGCGGAGTCGTGTCCTCGGGGTGGGTAACCAGGCCGTAGGATCTAGTAGGTCGTCCACGCGACTCCACCGCCGCCGGCGCTGGTTGGTGCAGCGTTTATCCCAGGACAGAGCGGTCACTCTCCAGTTACTGCCATCGTCTGGGAGAAGGACACCTCGCCACGATAACACGCGCTAGCCTGAGGTTAGAATGAATGAGGATATCCACTTCAAACTCGCCATTAGTGTGAGTGGCTATTGCCTCTACGAAATTTGTTCAGGTGGTTTGCAATTTTGACGCGGTATGTGTGTGTATTCTATATGGTTGTTTTTCCAAAAATGTAGGTTTCTTATTTATGTGTTAGAAGCAAACACAAACTGAATCCGACATTGCACTTTCGTAGATCTCATTTTCTTTCATGGGGCACCCTTATTTGTATGCACTGTGCAGTGCGAGAATACGCTTCGGCTTGCACTTCGTCTTCAATGTGGATGTGAAATCGTGAAAAACCGTGACGCCGCCATGTGGCTGGTCTACACTGCCGATCTCCTTGAAACGATTTTGACCACGCTGTCTCTTGATCTAGACACTTCCCGCTTTGGAGCTGTGTTGTGGGCTTGATACTGAAGTAATATGGTGGTAACTGCGCGTGGTGGGATCTATGGTGATAACTAGTGGTGGTAACTACGCGTGGTGGGATCATTAAGTCTCCAACACAGCAGTGCAGTTGCACAATGAACATGAGTTGAGGGAATAGCTAAACTTGACCCCCCCCCCCAAACGACCCCTAAAAACGGGTCTCCCCCCTGGATTTGACTCACTACCCTCTCAAGTTTGTTGTGGAGGTGGGAGCTGGACTGGATAAGAAACAGATGAAAAGGAAGCAACTGAATAAAAAACCACACCACTGCTCGGCCACGCTTTCCCGTTTTGTCCCGACGGAAGATGTCGTCGGGCATAAGTATAATCTTGTTCGGCTTTGATGGTCGAAGCCAGGTTTCGGCTTTTGACGTAGGGCCGACGCTATGCTGCTTTAGATGTTGTTTCGCGCGTACAGCTTCGCTAAAACAGAGTGTAAGTTGATGTGCTCCACCGCTCGGGGCTGCCACGGAAGGCCCCGATCGCAGGGCGGGCTGCAGGGTGGAGAGCAGCGTTCAAGTCGAGTATGTTTGACACGGCTTGCTTTCGAAACTGTTTCGCTGAAACTTTACGTCGAAGTGTAGGTCTGAAAATTTCAAGGGTGCTTCCGAAATTAGATCCGTCACGCTTTGGTGAGCTAATATGCGACTGGTCTGTTTTCATTCACCGATGATTCACTGGTAAGACCTAGCCTTGTTTGTTTACTCAGCCTTGTATAAGTCATCCAGGCAGATTAGTGCAAATTATTGCAGCCTATAGAAGTTGGAGCCTCGCTGAATGATGTCATGCCACAAAACTAGATAAGAATCAACAATACATGAATCTTGCAATAAAAGACATACAGCGTGCATCAAAACCTGAAAGTACCGAGTGGATAAGGTAGAACCGGAGATTAAAAACTGTAACTAGCTGTCAGCTGTGCTTAATTGTAGAGAACATTGCAGTTGTCTTTTTCTTGGTTCCTTTGGCCTTTGAAGCATCTCTTACAAACTTTCTCTAATGCTTGTATAATTTTGGGCTTTTTTCGAATGTTCTGCTTGCACTAAATCCCCACAAGGTTGGGGGGGGGGGGGAGTAAACTCACCGCCGGGGGGCCAAGCAAGCCATTGGGGGGGAGGAGGAGGGTAGTGGCCCACCCAAAAGGATACAAATCGACACCCGTGCCTGCCACTGCTACACGGAAACAGCAGCCAGGGCAGC